TCCTTTTTTTTTTTTTTTTTTTTTTTGGACGCCGGCTTCCCCGAATCAGCAGTCCGATCAGCAGCCCGGCTGGCTGGAGCATTCTGGGGATAAGAGTTGGGTAAAGTAACTTTTGAAGGAAGGTTACCAAAAATACAAAACTCTTGATAGCACCAGGCAGCTGTCCGTTCCCATGGATTTGGGGTGCGTCTGCAACGGAGACACACGTTCCCGCACAGGGTGAGGGATCCTGGCAAGCGTCCATTCCCCAGAAGGAATCTCCAGCCACGCAGCATGCGGTTAAACTTCTCACGACCACAAGCTGTCGTGGCGGACGGTACCAATTCAGATTCTTTGAACGGTGGAGGATTTCATGAGGGGTTTCAGAGTTCAGAGGGTTTCCCTAAGATCCTACGCCAGCCATGTTGCACTCCACAGGCTGTTACTCTGAGGAAATGGGTGAAGGGGGGGAAGGATGGTGATCCCCCTGGGGCCATTAAAAAAAATTCCCTTGGCTCATTTGGGAAATGCTTGCCACCATGCCTCCTATGATGCCCTGACTCCCTGCTCTCTGAGATCTGGAGACACTCTTGTTTTCTTTTTACATGGCTACCCTGCTTTGGTTTCCAGAGAGCTGGGATTATTCGGGTTATCAGTGGGATGATGGAAGACGGCAAGGCAGTGAGGGGTTTTTAACACAGGGACAGAAAACTGCTCAGGGACTCAAACCATAGGTAAGACTTACGGGGCACGGGGAGAGAGCAAATTCCTCTGTGGGTAGGCCTCCATTTTTTAAATGAGGTGGTTTCTGTTCCACCTGCAGGATTTGGCTCGGCTCTTCCTGTGGGTCTTAAGGGAGTATGATGAAGTGGAACCCATCATTTTGTCAGGTGAGCTGTGTCACTGAATGAATTGCACAAACACATATACACACACACACACACACACACCCTCGTCTTCCGCAAGTGCCCAATGGCCCCAAACGAGGGTTAAACTCAAGACCCGGGCATTGTTTTCAAATGCTGGGTCTCAGTCTTGACACATGGGGCTGGCTGTAGAACATGGGGGCGGATGGGCAACTCTGGTGAATGTGGGGGGAGCATGTCCATGTGTCAATTTTTGTCCTCGATCTTTGGGGGCCAAACAGAGAGACTTAATCTGGATTAAATGTGATTTCACCTCTTTTTTGTGTGTGCAGCTTCTCACATTGCTGCCTTTTGTCTGACCCTGCTTGGTCATTAGATGCCTCTCAGTGTATGTTTGGAGGGTGTGTGTGTGTCCCTGGCCACAGTGTCCCCTCCAAGGGAAAAGCCAGCCCTGGGCAGCCTGCACGCTGATCCCAGAACACCTGTAGAAGAAAGGGATCGGGGAAACCATTCTGAGTCTTGCCTACCTAGAAAACCTGGGGGAAAGGTCACCCTAACTCAGAATGGACTTGACCGCAAATCGCCATAGCAGGAACAGCAAGAAAAATAATATAAAAGGCCTTTGGGCTGTTTCTGCTGTAGGAACGCATCTGGACATCTTTATAAATCCTGCCGTCCTTTGGCTCTGTTCTTTACTCCCTATTTAATACTCCCTGTTTCTGAAGTGGCAGCAGATTTGGGGGGGGGAACCCTCTATAAACAGCAAACTAGCTGCTCGTTTGGGACCGGCAAGAGGCCACTGCAGGAAGAACCAGGTAGGGTGGCTGGTCTGGCCCGTAAGAAGACAGGGAGCTGGTTGGCTTGTTGTAATGGTTCTGTTTTGAACTTCTGTGCAGTTGGAGAAGAAGATGAGGTCTCTATTCGGGAAGCGGCCGACTGCATCGTGAAGGCCATGGACTTCAAAAGCGAGCTCCTTGTATCTTTGAGAACAATTTCCCGTTCACGGGGACGGGCCGTCTGACAGCTTGTACCTTGTCCTCTGCTCCCCTTCTTACTCAAAATGATTTGTTTTCGGGGAACGGTTAGCTGGGCAAGGGTTCCTTCCTGCCCCATCTTCCAGCTTCAAACAGATAGGCTTCCCTTTTAAGGCGGCCCTTTTTTAACCGTGGAAAAGACCCTGGTTAACTGCATGGTTCTGGGGAAAAAAAATACCAGCCTGCCAGGCAGAAAAGCCGGGTCGAAGAAGGAATGATTATGTCTGCAGGGTGTAAAAGCTGGAGGGAGCCATCTCTGAAGGACCGAGGCCAGTTTTGTCCCTCCACAGACCTTAGAAGGCTGAACCCCCTGTTCAGATTTGTTCCCAGGTTCTGGGATGGCATGGGAAGGGTCTACATGCAACCCACAGGCCACAACCACCCCTTCCTGCTGTATGGAAGTGGGGGGGTCACTTCTCGAGTCTTAATCTGAATGACATCCTTCCACAGATCCTTTTTTCCCCTTCCTCCTTTTTCTTAGCTGCAGGAGGGTTGCATTCTTGGTAGTGTGCCCTAACGACTGGGTAGAGGGGGGTTGAGGTCTCTGGCTGTGGAGGCAAAGGTTGGGTGTTCAATTCCCCCCCCCCCCGGGCCTTCTTGACAGGGGCTGGACTCCCAAGATCCATCAGAGTGCCTTCCAGCTTCGAAGCCTGACACCCTCCTCCTTAATATATCCGAATTCTTCACTTTATAATGGGGAGGGGGGATACAGAAGGCCTGGAAGAAGCCACGTTGAGGAAGGCTGGTGAAAAGGAGCTGGTGGGCTTTTGTGGCCTCTGACTAATTTCAGCCCCCCCCCGGACCCCATGGCTCAGAAATGGCCACTTCAAGGGGGGGACACAACATTCCTGGATAGACACTTCCTCTTTTTATTTTTGACATTTCTTGGGGAAATCCCCCCAGCCCCTGAACTTTAAAAAAAGCACACATTATTTTGGAATACTTCTAGGAGGTGAAATAAGTTTTCTCTTTTTTGGGGGGGGGGCTTTAGTTTTTCAAGGTGGGGCGAGGTGCCCCAGGTGGCCCACTCCACCTAACAACGGTTAAAACAACCCACCACAACTGCACAAGGGCATCAAATAAGGAGATCCAAGAAAATATGAATAACCCAGAATATCAAACGAGGAAGAATTGTCCTGAACTGCACTGGCTAGCCATGTCTGATGCCCCCCCCACTCCACTGGGAAGGACTGCAGCTGATGGCTGGCGATCCGCTCTGCCTCTGGCAATGCCTCCGCTGCAAACCACCCCAAATATGTCTGTTTAGAACATTTTGCTTTCTCCTCTTGTCTCATGAGTTGATTTCTGCAAAAGACATTGAAAAATACTTTAATCCACGTGAAACAATTTGAGGTTCTTTCATTTCTTGCTGGATCCCATATTTTCCTGAACTGTCTTTTCTTACGTTATGCTTCGTGCTCGGCAGTTTTGTTTTAGACCCTTTTTACAAGGGTTGCCCTAAAAAAAACTGGATGAGAAGTCAATGAAATATAATTAACGTTAAAAGGTGAAATGGGTTTGCAGAAAACTTCCAGCTTCAGGGGCTGCTCTCGGTTCTCCCCCTCCTTACTTTTTCTTTAACCTAAGTTCCTTCCCAGTTTGACACGACCAAGTCGGACGGGCAGTTCAAGAAAACAGCCAGCAACAGCAAGCTGAAGCGATACCTTCCGGATTTTAAGTTCACGCCCTTTGAGCAAGGTAAGAAACCCTTGGATCTTGCCCCGGCGGCAGCCGCCAGGAGAAAAGAAAAGCGATCCTTCGGGCCTTCCGAGCCCTGCGGCATTTGGTGCTTGACCTCAGAAAAGCAAAATTACTCCTATGGGGGCACAGGATTTTTCTTTAAGGTGAAGACGCAGAATTCTGCACCTGATGCCAGTTTCTGGGACCCTTTATCTAGAAAAACGGCCTTTTCTAGGCTCGAGCCTCCTATGTGTATTTTCCATCTCATCCCTGGTGTGCTAACAAGTCAATTCTGACTTGTGATCCTTTTCAGGGTTTCCCAGGTAGAGAGAGACTACTCAGAAGTAGGTTCCCCTTCCCTTCTCCTCAAGGTCGGGATGGGGAATCCCCGGGATTGTTCAGCTTGCCCAAGGCTACACAGGTCGGCTTTTCTCCCATTGGGGAATCCCATTCCCAGCCACAGCCGTAGACCTAAACCGAGGACATCATACTGAAATTCCTCGGGGATTTGGCCTCTTCCTCGTTTCTTTTTCTGTGACTTGGGAGGGCTGGCCTGCTCATGTTCAGGCTTAACTCCGCAAGGGAATGTAGACATTTTCTCGCCAGTTTCCAGCACTGGTGCCGAGACTGGCGGGATTTCCGTGCCCTTAGAAAGCGGCTGCCGCTCCGCTCCTGTATTGAGTCAATTGTGTCTCAAGCTCTATATAAAGAGGGCAATTTGCTGCTCAGCCAGTCCCGGGCCAGGAAACTTCCAGGGAACTTGGCCTCAGGCAGCGTCTGACCTTCCTCAGAAGCATCCCCTTGGCTAAGATGGATTTCTTGGACTCTGA